TGGTTGCATCACATCAATGACAACCCTGTGCGAGGTCCAGGCAACACGTCATCTGACAGTGACAACATGGCACGTTGTCACTGTCTGGTTGTTTTTGGCCACCCAGGTGAGTCCCAGCTCCCTCGCCCCCCATCACTCACAATACAGGTGCACCACAATGTGTCAACCAACGGACAACAACAACGATGTGGCACCACCACCATCCAGACAACGATGTGGCACCACTGAAAACGCCTCCAGCACCCACGAAAATGGCCCAGCGTCCACAAAAACCACACCCAGCCCACCGAAAAACACCCGTGCCCACCAAAAACACTCAGCGCCCATCGAAAACGGCCCAGCGCCCATCGAAAACCACCCAGCGCCCACCCACATCCACGCCAACATGTCCACGTCCATGACAACACTAATGCAACCATGACAACACGACAACATTAACACAACCCCAACAACGTTAACGCAACCACAACCACGACAATGCCAACATGACCACGTCTACACTGAGGCAACGACACCACCCCCTCCCCCTTCCCCTTCCTCACTCCCTCTCAATCCCCCTTGACCACTTCTTCCCCTCTCCACCACTCCTTCTCCTCTCTATCACTCCCCTCTCCCTCCACTCTCCACCCTTCCCTTCCTTGTCCTTCCCCCCTCCTTAAATATAGACTTCCCCTCTCCATCTCTCCCCCCATAACTCTCCACCCCTCCCTACCCCTTTCCTTGTCCCTTCCCCCTTCCTTCTTGTCCCCACGCCCTTTCCTTGTCCCTCCCCCCTCCCCCCCCCACTTCCTTAAATATAGACTTTATGATGTAAAATACATTCTATGTCATTGTGTAAATACATTATAATTTCATCTATTGACTTCAAATTTTATAAGAAATTCTGAGTAGCAAGTTATCAGAAAATGGTTTATATATCAAGTCACATGACTTTTAGCTGATCAGAACATGGGGAGGGTAAAGTGCATTCCACTGTAATTCCACTGTAATCCACTGGAATGACTGGATTCCTGCAGGAATAGGTGGGCACTGTAAAGTACTGCAATTGTGTGCCAAAGGATTCTGACCCACCATTCTGTCACAGATGGTGAACACCAGTGGAGACAGTTGAAATCATTGTTATGCCACCCGATATGGGCGTCAGGTCTTACTACAGAGAGCGGTCATATGTCGAAGTACTGCATATTGTTATGCTTTGAGGACCCAAACAGTTCCCTCGCCATTCAGTTATACTCTGGGAAAAGATGCCACCCAAAAAGGTGTTCTTCTGGTGCAGGGTTGATCACAGTGCTCAATGTTAGTGTAATGGGAGCAGAGTGGTTATTACAATGTTGGTGTGCAGGGGATGTGGCATGGAAAAACGTGAGTGTGGGTAGTGGTGAGTTTATGAAAAAGTCATAGACTTTATCAAGCATTATTTGGTAGGCTTTGAGGAGTACACAATCTTTGGCGGGCCACATGTGCACTGGGCTCCAGTGAGAAACCGTGAAAGAAAAGAGTTCTTTTGCTGGTACGCAAATTTCTGTCACTTTGTCCACCTATCCTGATCATCGCTAGTTTTATGTCCAAAGAAAGATCAGGTGCATTCACGTTGGACAACCACCGACTACCTACAGTGACGAAATGTGCAATTCACATGTGAACGAATATAAACAAACAGAGCAGTGATGAATGGATTGAAATGCTGGAAATACGATGCAATATAACAAATACAAATCTATACCATGTAACCTACACTGAAACTTCAACTGAAAGTCAGTAATTCTGATTTTGACCACCTTCCCTCTCAAAGGTTCCGCTATCCGCTTCATGCCCCATGCAAGTATTTCAACATCCTCGGGGACACCAGCAGGTTCAAAGATATCTACATCCTCACCAAATTCAGCTAGGAGTGTCTTGGCGGAAGGCAATTGAGCATCCTCGCATCGCCATTGAGTCTCGCTAAACTCCCTCCATGCTGAATGTATCTGGTTTGTCGTAACATGGGGATATGCAGTCTGAATCTTTGCAGCCATTGCACTAGGTGTCAACCATTCAGCCTGTTCACAGATGATCTGGAGTGCCTTGGGAGGCATTCGGACATCACTATATGACACATGGCTGACATGGTGTTGAAGCCGGATGAAGATGTCTTGGCCACCATCCTTGCTATGTTTGCATCTGACTAACAATGCGCTTCAACAGAAATAGCGCTTCATTCCAACATGGTCACGGTGCTTTGCATCAGGTTTCTCTGACAGCTTAGGTGCTTTCTTCCGGGCTTCATCTTGGCTACACCAAAACTGCATAGTATGACCTGTCTTCAATGGATGGTTATCATGGACACTACCAAACTGGTAAGTCTTCTTTAATCTGATGCTCAGATGTGGCCACTCATGTAAATTGGTATCCGGTGGTCTTCCACAGCTCCTTGGCAAGCATATGTGTGCGTTCTTTTGGTGTAATAAGATCATCTTCCTCAATGGGGTAGGTTCCGTGGAAGTCAACATGATTGCTTGCTTTAAACTGATCTCGTAAAGCATGGAACAGGTCCTCTGCATCAACATAGTCCTCTGCCGCCTGAAAAGTAAGGGTCAAAATATTTCATAAGACTGTGAAGCCATGACTTACCTTTGTGTCAAGGGCTACAAAAGGCATACTGTCATCTTTGTTATCCTTGTCGTCAGAGATGATAGAAGTGGTTCTTGCTCAACAAGTAGGTCTTTCCGGCTCTGCGGAGGTCTCGACTCGAGCACGTTTTCTCCCTTTGGACATGTCTGTTGTCTTTTCCTTCAGGTGGCTCTTGCGGACCAAGCCAGCTTGACGGGTTCGGCATGGGTTGCAATGCTTGAATTTCCCACTTGAAAACCTTTTACAGCCTGGTTTGCTGCATGCAACTGGAGGGCAATTTTCGTCCATAATGAACAGAACAACTATTTTTTTCATTGACTTTCACTTCAAGGGAATCAGCAACTTCCCAACTTGATTACAGTCACAGTGTTTGGTCGTTTGAAGCACCGAGTCCAACTCAGCTCAGCTCCTTACATGACCTTGGGCCTTTCCCTACTTACGAGGGATCCTCCCCCTCCCTACCCTGGCCATCTACATTTGAAGTTCTTCATTTTAATGTCAAACCCGAGATTATGCAGGTTGTATTTGACAGACTTTTTTGCGGAACATGCGCAAGGGGGTTCAGGGATCTGAATGCCAGACTGGGGGTTGGGTAGGTAGGTTGGCCGTAGGCCAAAAACAAGATTTTTGGAACCCTCTATGAGATAGTCCTAAATTGGTTTTCCAAGGTGATTTACAGTATTACTGCATGTAAAATATCATTGTATAGTCCATTATCTTGACTGGATATTATATTTCATTATATCTGGCCCAATTTCTGGCTTCAAAATTGTTTTTCAGTCTAATCTTCATCAAAATTTTGTCTAATGTTTCAATCAATCACAATTTACTGACAAAACAGTTAGAGACCAGTTCTTCACACTGATGGGTATGCTGTGTGACCTGATTTCAAAACTTGAATCATCTTGATGCTTTCGACACATCAGACACTCTAAACAGATGCCTGTGTGGTGTGGTATTGCACTCAGAATGCAATGGCTTGGTAAAATGTAAAAGGGTTGGATGTGAGACTCAACAGGTGAGTATCAGTCTTGCACAAGTTAATCACTACACTGGATGCAAGCCACAATAACTTGAACCAAATTATTGTAAATAAATTGTAAGAAAATTTCAAATAATTTTACAGTAACAATGTCTAAAAAATTGTAAAATTATTGTGACTTTTCCTTTGACAAACAATAGCATTATCCAAAGAAAAATCACAATAATTTTAGACATTTTTACCATAGAATTATTTGAAATTTCTTTACAATTTCTTTACAATAATGTGGTCCAAGTTATTGTGGCTTGCATCCAGTGCTACACTCACTTATTTTTTAGTACCACCTACAATGTGTTGTATTGGAGATAGCCCCACAAAATTGAATCTTTAAGGATCAGAGTGATGATGATGATGATGTCATATTGCCATATATAGGCTTGTGCCTGATTACATAGGTAGGTAGGTCAAGCACACAGGGCCTTACAAAAAAATTCGACCCCAGCTACTTTTTTAAAATTCTTGAACCCCCTTGAATGGCATGCGTTCACAACAATTTACAAAGGTCGGTGTTTCTTGTCCGCTCCGCTACCATTTCACGGTATCCCTCCTATTCAGGTGATGGCAATGAGTTTAGTCGTATCCATCAATCTCCCCTCCTTCATCTCCCCAAAGTCAGCATCCTGCTCGAGCTGCGGTCTTTGTTTGCAAAGTCCGACTCGGAACGCGCTTTTCAACGTCGTTTCGCTACTTCATTCTGACAAGATCGCGACACTACCTCATCTCGAGGAGCTAGCATTCTCCTGAAACGGCGCCGATATTGATAACCTTTGCGCTCCCTTCGAAATGTCCTTCTGGAAAGCGTTGGACGCCCGCGGCCGCATCAACTGTCTCCCCGAGCCCTCAACGTCGATATCTTCCCTCGGAAAGGCAGACCCCTACAAGCCAGTTGATATTTTTATCGACGAATATTCGACAGTCTCTACAACGGAAATGGAAGGTTGGGGGTTGTGAAAATTTCTGACTTGAGGTGGATTCAGCAGATTTGTAAAATTAACCTCCAACTTGTACCCAAAGAGCGAAACGTTCTAATAAATCCCCATCTTTATTCGATATCCATGACTTCTCTCTGAATTCGTCTCATGGTTATAATGTAGAGGTAATTAGTTGGTCTGTTTTACTTCGTGAAGTTGTTGAGTAGTTGTATTCGGAATTCGAACTTATAGCTGTCTACAAAACAATATACTAATTATGGGGCAATGGTTAAAATCGCGTACAGGAAGTTCAAAGGGACAAACCTACTCATATTCTTCCCCGCGCCCTCTCCCAAATCTCAGTCAATGGCAAGGACTTTGGCATCAACCGAATGGCCTCTTCAGAAACCAGTATCTTCTTGCGACCAGAGATGACCTCAGGAGTATCCACCTCCTCGTCCGAAGATGCCTTGCGTAGCCAAACGAGCATCCTTCTCCTCCTCTTGTCGCTCTCGACGATGAAGTCGCCCATGTCGTCGTCTTTCGCCACTTTCGCAATCGGATTTGATGTCGTCGTTGTCGTCGTCAACGCAACGACGTGATGTGGACTTGGACTTGGACTTTTGAACTTCTTTGCCTTTGCCTTTCCTTTCCCTCTGAGATTTGAAATGGGTTCCTGGTCCGAATCAACGACCTTTGCTTCGAATCATGGTCAGGGTGAACGCATAGGGAACGGGTCCGATCCTTGGTAATTCTTCAAACAACAACCTGCCTCGATAGCTTCTCAACCAAGGGGGCTAAAGAGCTGGATTTCGGGGGATTCTTGGGCGTACAAGTTGCTCCTAGGACGTCCGGAGAACAGGAAGACTAGAGGGAATACATACATGCCCCCTCTTTGGTGAGGCAAGGTGTAGAGCGAACCACGGCCATTCCTCTGGACACCAACCCGAATCATGGGTCGGATAACCGCGTACACGAGGTTGTCGGCTCTGCCTCTAGAGGCGGGCCATATACGACGCAATCTTGACATGCAGAGCGTGACTTTGAGCCCAGGAAAAACGCATCAGACCGCCATTAGGGGAGGCAAGCGTTGGGGCTTGATGACCGTCGTTTGATAGTTCATGGGTGGCTTGTCGGGTCATACGAGGAAAGGTAAGGATGGCGCGGTCCCTCCTCAACATCGCGAAGGCTTGACCAGCGCGTATACGTCCGTGGAAGAGAAAACCGGACAGGGGCACCATCAGGTGAATGAGCGCTCAACGCTGCCGATTAATGTTTGACGCCTGTCCTTGATCCACGTCCAAAAATACGACCAAGGAAGAAAGGCAAAAAAGGACGAGAACAACGAACAAAAACGAAGACACCTACTCACTTTTCAGCCAACGTCAACGGCGGCCTCTCCTTCTCCTTCTCCAAAGGCAAACTCATCCTCTGAATCTCCCCATGTCTCCCCTTCAAAGCCGGGCTCCCCCTCCCCACCGAACTGCTCCTAGACAATCCAGCTCCAGCATGCTGCGTACCACGCGCACTTACAGGCGAGCGTCCCGCGTTGTTTAAAGTTATTGAGCTTGAAGTGTAGTAGTCCGGGGTCCGGTCAGGGGGGTAGTACGATATAGAACTTTGTCTCCTGGAGGATTTTGTGGATCTGCTTGGTGAGGGCGAGGGTGAGGACGCGGATGATGATGAGGTGATTGTTCCATCTAGGAGGTGTAGTGGTCGTGGACCGGGTGAGGCGGGGGGTAGTATGGCTAGAGAGTGTCGTTTATATTTGGTTGTTGATGAGCTTGAGGGAACGGGATAGTATGACGATGGCGCTGTTGTGCATGTGGGCTTGCTCTAGAACTCGTGGATGTAATTGTTGACATATGAGCGTGACACTGAGGATCATCGATCACCACCGAAGGTACCGGTAAGCACTTGGTATGTAAGATCTTGCTGCAAAGTTGATAGCGTGGTCCAAGCAAACACAGATTGTCTTGACCGGTGGAGTAAGTAGGTGACCTACGTCCACCAGATGACGTTCCAATTGAACTCACCTGCCTTCGGTCCCTCAGGCCTCAACGTTTACACTTACTTACCGGCAGGTACCACGTATGTCTCCTGAAAAGCACCGTATTTCGGATGATGCAGATGAGGTGGACGTCCGAGTAAATTTGTTTCGATGTCGTATAGCGTACCTACTACCACTATAAACTAGGTTACAACCATGACAACTAGCTGCCCATGGCCTAACCCAGCCTCTTTCCGAAAGCAATTCCCTTCAAGCGCAGCCCGAAGCTCTCCAGTTCCAACCCTACCCTTTCATCCAGCTGAGGGGCCAGCTCATCAGTCGAACACTGGTTGGCCGAGTTCGCACAAAACATTCCCCTTTGGAACAGCGTTTCGGGGCTTAATAATTGGCACGGCGCTGACACGTAAGGAAGTAGGGAGTCAATGCCACCACAGTTTCATCCTCGACCGGGTTCTTGAAAGAACGGGGTTGAAGACTCAGCACCGGGTATGCTCGAATCGAGGATGGTGCAAACACCTTCGTATGTCACATGCCCGTAGAGTCGCGTTCCGAGACACGATCGGAGCAGCAGATGGTGAACGTGTGACCTTGAGAGTGTATGCATCAGCTGGGGGAAGTTGTGGGGAAGAGTCGTTGACGACGTGAATAAGAAGACTGAATAGAAGCGGGTTGAAAGTATACGGGAGGAGGGAGGAGGAAGGACGGAAGAGGGAGGAGGCGGGGAGGGAAGAAGGGGATAGTAAGAAGTCCCACCATCCGCTTTGTGGAGGCAACCAACGCCAACCGAGGAAAAACTCGAAAAATTCACCCATCAAGACCTTATCCGATACCCACCAGTTACGACGATTGAACTAGGCCGGCCCCAGCCAACGAAGGAGTGGCACATTCTGCTTGACTTGAGCTTCAGGGCCTCGTCTCTGTGTTGGTTTAGGGATCGACTGTGACGCCACCAACGTGAAGGTGCGCTGTGTAGTTTGGTCTGGTGCGAGTCCCGGTCGTCTTGCTGGTGGTACAAGCTTCCACCACGCCTGTTGCGTGGATCTCCACCACATTTGTCGCTCGAGCTCCCGCCGCCGCATTGTAGTTCATCGACGACGTTGAATTCGAAGATGGCGAAGAGCCGAAGACGTTAGGCGAGATTGAGTTGGTCCTGCCGCTGTGCTGCGTTTGACCTCCAACTGCCGGTTGACGTCGTTGTTCTCCAATCGACCAAAGCCTCATCACTCCGATCGTCTGCCCCCGTCGATACCTCACTCAGCTTTCCCGAGGATGAATAATGCGCCGAACTGTATACTCTGTCAGGAGGGATCACACACAAAAAATCAAAACAAAAGATACATACGAACATGACTGAGGACGCAAATCCTACGACATGAGAAGTTAGCAAAACAAATCCAAATTGCGAAGATGCGGAGAAGAATATTACCTCCCCGACTTCAAAATTCGTTTGAGGCTTCTAGCATCGTATTCCGTGTCCGCGAAGGTAGCTAATGGGTTCGCTGAGGAGATGTGTCCGTTGTGGAGGAAACTGTTCTGAGGGTAAGGATGTTGAAGGGTGATCTTGCACGTCCAAAACGAAGAAAACTGACCTTTGGATAGGGCTAACTGAGTCTTGCGCAGAAAGGTTTACGCCTCTCTGAACCGGGTTCCGAGCGCCCATAGGACAGGTGACAGAAATGTCGAGCTGGTCAACGTGTGGAGCGCGAAGTTCGTTGCGCCCAAGTTCTCTTCCTTCCCACGCTACACTTCCAACGTGAGCCAACCAAATGTCCTCCAGGGCGCTCAGAATGTTGTTATAAGAGGCGGCAACATATATGTTGCCGACAGGGTAAGTCAACCTCTCTGGTGCCTCTTCTCACAAGCTAATCAATTGGTATTTTGCACAGATCAATTAGTACATTAGTGCTGGCAACAAAACAGGATCCATTCAATTGAAATTCAGTGCAGGACACTCAAAACCGGCAGCCTCCACAAATTGGAGGTCTACCTCACTTCGCTTCGAATACCGGCAACATGCCAGCTAGAACGCTGCCCAATTTTGAAGACGACCCTCTCACCAATGCCATCAAGCCGCCGCCAGACGAAACACCTGAAGAACGACAACGCCGGTTGCGTTCAGAGCAAGACGCGAAGGCCATCTCCGATTCAATTGACAAGGAGTTGGAATCACAACGCGCATCTGAGAGGAATGGGCAGAAACCGGTCAAGATTCTTCTGCTTGGTGAGTCTCCCCTTCACCTCGAACGACGAGCGCAACTCATTGGAATCACAGGTCAAATTGAATCAGGTGGGCTGTTATCATGCCGTTCTTCAACGGACCACATGGGATCTAATTCGCGCCATTGAGGCAAATCGACCACTTTGAAAAGTAGGCTTCGCCCTGACAACGGTTTATCCGCCCGCTGACGTCGTGCGAGGACAGATTTAAGCTGCTTTACGGACCAAAGGCACGTTCCCTCGACACATTCAGATGTTCATTTGCTGACCATTCACGACAGGCCTTTCGCACGGAAAGAGCGTCGTGGCGGGCAGTGATCCAACTCAACGTCGTTCGCTCAATCCACTTGATTTTTGACGCTATCTCAAAGGCAGAGAAAACCTCATCTGGATCCCAGGATCTTGCAGTAGACCTAATAGCTTCCCCCGAGCTTTTGAAGCTGAAATTACGTCTAGCCCCCCTCCTTCAAGTCGAAGAGACCCTCATTCGCCGTCTCACGCCGGCTGGATCTAGTGAAACGGAGGCAACCTTACGAATCGGGAGAGATATGTCGTACTCCGAACGCACGAAAAACTACATGAAGGAGGTCACTATCAACTCCGCTGTGCAATGGAAAGGGTCGTTTGGTTGCAGGGACGTAGGGCGCAGTAGCTTCGATACAGACAAGGCTATGAATTGGGAGGATGCTGATGACCCCGGTCGCATCCTACACGCTTGTTCTGAAGATATGATACGACTATGGGAAGACCCGATGACGAAGAAGTTCTTGGAGGCACAAAAACTTGGAGTCCAGGAGCTCGCCGGATTGTACGGTGATTTGTTGCTTCCAGATGGCTTGAAGGATGACGTGACTATAGTTTTTTGGATGCTCTGGAACGAGTTACGGCTCCCCAATACTTACCCACTGACGGTACGCCCCTTCCTATTGCCTATTTCCTCCTTCTCATGCCTGGGATCCCCAGATGACATCCTTAAAACCTTAGGCGTCATTGAGCATCGCTTTATTCTTTCCGGGAGTGCGTCACAACTATCCTAGGATTATGATTTTACTCAACACACTTCCAGAGAATAACATCAGCAGGGATTGGCGCGTTTTCGACGTTGGAGGACATAGATCACAGGTACTCTTTTTCCTCCTACAGCATTTTGTCTAATTGAATTGATGAATCGTTAGCGAGGTAAAAATCCATTTACCTTTCTCCCCTTCCAGGTCTTCTGATAGGCGGAAATAATCTCCACTATTGATAGCTGCATGGGTCCCGTACTTCGATGATATGGATGCCATCATCTTTCTTGCCCCAATCAGGTGAGGTCGATCGTTCCAAAATAGCAACATAACGGCAATTCGCTGATGATACTTCAGTTGCTTCGATCAAGTACTTGCGGAGGACCACAAAGTCAATAGACTGGTGCCTCATCTATATATTCTCTATCTTTCTTCTGGTCCGCTGACTCGCTCTCTACTTAGGAAGACTCAGTCAAACTGTGGACGTCAATCGTCTCGCACCCCCTTTTGAAGAACACCAACCTAGTCCTATTTTTGAACAAGATTGACATACTGCAGTCGAAACTGGCTTTTGGGATCAAAATAGCCGATTATGTGGTGTCTTACGGAGACCGTCCTAATGACTACGAACATGCATCGACCTGTTGCGTCATTTTGGCTTCATCCTCCCTCACTTGTGACTGACCCTGCTGATCATGAATACGACAGATCTGAGAAGAAAATTCTGTATGTGGTTCACCGAGACTTCTAGCTGGTTCTGCGCTTACAACAAATTTCAGCTGATATTCTGAAGGAGAAATCGCCCCTTCCCCGCGTCTTTTATTGCCATTTTACGACGGTAACCGTATGTGCGCATCAACCTTTCACCTGAACGTCATCTCACAGCATTATAAGATACGAAATCTACGAAATACATCTTATCCAATCGTCAGTTGCTGCCTCATTCGCCAATACAGGTCACTGACGGTCAAACACAGTTAAGGATATACTTATGAGGGACAATCTCACCAAAACGAACCTTATAGCCTGATACCACACACGCTCACTAATTTTCTCTTACTATATATTTGTTGTAACGTTACCCTTGTAAGTGGTCTTGTAGATTAAAGATATCATGTAATGTATAACCGTTCCAAGGAGTCGCCTTCAATTCAAACTCTTGGTCAAGGTCCGTCATTGCAGAAGACGTGGCTTCAGGCGTCCAACTTGACAACCTTTCCCTTTGCCACCGTCACAATCCTGGTCTACCAGCCCCATTATTCAATTCTCTTTCCCATCGCACCTCCATTTCCCCTTCAAGTACTCCATGAGTTCCCCCTAATGCTGAATTCCACACGGCCATGCCAATATTCTCGATCTGTTCGGCTTCAATCTCAGAAGCAGATTCTTGCAATGGTGGAACGTGTAGGAGAAAGAACGGTATCGGCGAGGACATAGCGCGTAGGAGAGTCGATTTGGTGAATGGAGATTCGGAAACCAGCAGAGCTACCACCGGGTCGAGGGTTGAAGGAGCCGTGGTAGGGTTTACCCAATGATGCTGGATTGAGGGTAGAAAGCGGTGAAGCACCCCTTCCAGTTCTCTGACATACTTCGGGCTTGCCTTCTTCTTTTCCGCTTTGCATTGACCAAGTACATGTATTCGCCGTCGTGGGGAGTTCACAGAGCCGGATGGGTCAGGCAACCACCACCACCCAAGCTATCCCGCAGGAGTTTCAGTGACCGTTCCTCGAATGGCGTCCCCCGATGGACAGTAGAGAGTGGCTTTGAAGCCCAGTTAAGACTCGCCGAGAAGTTCCGCCTGGCCAACGAAGCACCGAACGTCGAATATGATGGTGTCATCGCACTGGGGGGTGCGAAGCTGTATTTTGTGAACGTTGGTGATTGGCTGATGAAGCTGAAGGCTGGCGAACACTGCAATGCGAGTTTCAATTTGTTTACTGGTCGGTACTCGAATGCTTACTTGGAAATAAAATAATACGTACGGGCGTACACCACGGGCGGCATTGCTCCGACACCTACTGCTGCTGCCCACGCCTTGCTTTCACAGGCGGTGACGTCGACCATTAAAACTACGTCCCCAGCTGGAACTGTCCTAGTTCCTAGTCCGTTATTCTTTCCTGGTAACACCGCTAGACGAGGATTTGAAGTGCAGGGATGGCGATTGACGTTAGTCGGAATCATTGTTGTGATGACCACCTATCTGGTTTAGTAACCCTTCCCATTAAATTCTTTCCCTTTTCCAGATCTTTTGCCGGGCTGATTTTGTTGTGCATGGATAATACTTAGACATCATGGAGACATCATGTATCTTATTTGTATAGGATATTGGACAATGGAGACGTTATGTTTTTATTTGAATAGAAGAATATCAGACGTTAGGGCCTCTATAAGTGTTTGGATAATCAGTCAAAGGCAAAATCTTACTTGTATTTTGGGTGCGATAAATGGGTCAAGTTTCAAAGATATTTATGTTCGACGAATCAGGATAAAAGGCGATGCACCGTCACGGAGTCGGTGGAACGCGGTGCGGTGACGCGATCACGGGCCACTCCGCCCCAACCCCCCTTGAATAAGACTTCGTCTATCACTGAATGTTCTACGTTTGCTTATACAGGTATCAAAATTCGACAAGAACTGATGTCAGGGGATAAAAGCTCCAGCGAAGAGGTTCATAAATCCGTAAAACCCCCAATCGCCTCCTACAATGTGCAGCAGCATCAGCAGCTCATAGGTCTTTCAATGCCACTTCATCATCCGTCTTCAAACTGGAGGCGGCAATTGGCCCGACAATTCTGGGTTTGTTCCGCCTCAAATCGATGGAACTCAACTTGCGCAAAGGGGAGCGGATATGCGAGCTGTGTATGGTTGAGTACCCCACAGAGGCGCAAGGAGAGGCACCGAACAAAGGAGCAAGGAGAAAGCCTAGAGCTTTGACGGTTGGGAGGGACCGCGGCTGCAAGAAAGGGGATTCGGCTGAAAGGAGGTCCTCCGTTTGAGGATTGAGCATACAACTAAATAGCTTTTGCCCTTATCTTTTTGCAAAGGGATAGTTGTCGTCGGCCCTCAGGATGTCACAGAAAGCTGGTGACGTGGATATTTCACAAAAGATGTCCGGTGTGCCTTCAATGAAGAGAAGTGATGGCGCTGTCCACGGTGAAGATGCTATGCAGGGAATGGTCGAGGATAGCCCATTGATCGCTTATATGGTATATTAGCAAAAGCCAAAACAGAGGGAGGAGTACTAGTTCACGTACGATTCTGGAGTGACCGCGGAGCCCATAATCCGCTCACGAGGGAGGGATCACATACTTCCCATCGTCCTACGCATCTCCAATCAGCCAAAAACCACTTTGTTGATCAATCGTTCCTGATGTCTACTCGCCTAGTCCCCTGATGGCGTTGAAATTCGAAGATAGCGAAGGACCGCAGGCGTCAGGCGAGATTGACTTGGTCCTGCCGCTGTGCTGCGTCTAGCTTCCAACTGCCGCATGACGTCGTCGTTTTCCAATCGGGCGTGCTGTAGTAAGGTCAAAGGGGTGACTCAGCTCCAATTTCTTGCTGGTCGGACTCACCGATCTACCAGGCTAAGTCAACGCCACGACTTCTTCTCTGTCTCCTTCAACTCGTCCTTGGTCTTTTCCTTCGGGTCTGATCCTTGGTAACTCCCTCGACGACAGCCTGCCATGGCAGACTCTTGTTTCAAGGGGGTTTCTCGGCCTACACCAAGCTCCAAAATCCAAAGAATAAGAGAATCGCATGTGTGGCAGGGGACCGGATATAGGAAGGAGGAGCGCGAGGAGGAGAGGGGGTGCAGTGATGAAGCAGCATATGCTGCATTGAGTCTTGGTATCGGTAAGCCAAGGGCAGGTCAAAGAACGGGGCGTTCTGCCAACGCCAACCGAATCATGGGCAGGGTGAACGCATAGGGCATGGGTCCGATCGTTGGTAACTCTCTAAACAACGACCTGCTTCGATACCCTCTCATTTAAGAGCTGGGTTTGACGGCAAAGAGAGAGGAGAGCCCGGGATTGTTGGGCGTACAAGTTGTTCCTAGAACCTCCGGAGAAGAAAGAGGCATTGGACACTGGAGGGAATGCATAAAGGACCCTCCTTGGTGAGGCAAGAATTAGAGCGAACAACTCTGGACACCAACCCGAATGCACGGGTCGTAGGCTCTGCCTCTAGAGGCAGGCCATATACAACGCAATTGCGACATGCAGAGCGTGACTTTGAGCCCACGAAAATCGTATCAGAGCGCCGTTGTAGGGAGGCAAGATTTGAGGCTTGAAGGCCGTCGTTTGATAGTTCATGAGTGGCTTGTCGGGTCATACTAGAAAGGGCAAAGATGGCCCTATCCCTCCCCAACATCGCGAAGGCTTGTCCAACGGATGTAGGTTCGTGGAAGAGAGTCTGGGAAAAAAAGGAAGGGGCCCATCAGGTGAACGAGCGCTCAACGCCGATTAAAGGTTGACGTTTGTCCTTGATTCACATCCAGAAATACGACCAAGAAAGAAAGAAAAAAGAGCCAGAACAACGAAAAGAAGAACACCAACTCACTTTTCAGCCAACGTCAACGGCGGCCTCTCCTCCTTCTCCAACGGCAAGCTCATCCTCTGTATCTCCCCATGTCTCCCCTTCAAAGCCGGGCTCCTCCCCATCGAACTTCTCCTGGACAATCCAGCTCCGACATGTACAGACTGCGTTTCGCGCGCACTTGAAGGCGAGCGTGCCGCATTGTTTGAATTTATCGAGCTTGAAATGTTGTAGTCCGGGGTGCGGTCAGGGGAGCAATACGATCTAGAGTTTTGGCTCCTGGAGGCTTTTCCTATGCTTGCGGATGTGCCTGGTGAGGGTGAGGACGCGGTTGCGGATGATGATAAGGTGATTGTTTTCCATCTAATAGGTGGAGTGGCCGTGGACCGGGTGAGGCGGGTAGTATGCCTAGAGAGTGTCGTTTAGATTTGGCTGTTGGATGGCGTCGTTGTGCAGCGAGTCTCCGCTTCTGGACCTTTCGCGAACCAACTTGGGCGAACGCAAACGCGGACCGGCAAAACGAAACCCTAGGGCCCTAACCCTCGTCTGTGGCCGTTGGAACCATCTTACCCATCCCTAACCGGAAGCAATGGCCTTCAGCGCAGCCTGAAGCTCTCCAGTTCCAACCCCAACCCTTTCATCCAGCTGAGGAACCAGCTCATCAGTCGAACACAGCTCGCACAAAACATGCTCTTTGGAACAGCGCTAGCGTTTCGTGGTTTTGATATTTGGCACGACCTTGTTCTTGAAAGAACGGGCTTGAAGACTGAGGGGTATGCTCGAATCGAGGACTGTGCAAACGCCTTCCCACTGCGTCCCGAGACCCGATCGGAGTAGCAGATGGCGGAAGTGTGACGTTGGGAGTGTATATGCATCAACTGGGGGAAGTTGTGGGGAAGAGGCGTTAGCGACGTGAAGAAGAGAGTTAGAAAGTAGCCGGGGGGAGGGAAGAGGGGAGGTGGCGGGGATGGAACAAGGGGATGGTAAGAAGAGGGGTGGAGAGAAGAGGGGGGTTGGAAAGACTCCACCATCCGCTTTGTGGAGGGATCGATTGGACGTGAAGGTGCGCTGTGTAGTTTAGTCTGGTACGAGTCCCGGTCGTCTTGCTGGTGGTGCAAGCTTCCCCCACGCTCGTTGCGTGAATCTCCACCACGTGTGTGGCTCGAGCTCCCGCCACTGCATTGATCCCAAGTTCTTGATGCCTACTCGCCCAGTCCATCGACGGCGTTGAAATTCGAAGATGGCGAGCAGCCGCAGACGTTAGACGAGATTGGATTGGTCCTGCCGCTGCGCCTAAGTGTGTGTATATATTGTCAGGAGGGATCACACAAAAAAAATCAAACCAAAGATACATACGAACATTATTGAAGGAAACGGTCGGAGACGGTCCGCGTGGAGTACCCCGCGGCTGATCGAGGTGAAGGATTGAGGGCAGGTGGAGACGGAGGAATTGATTGGCTGTTCTATGCAGTTGTTAGCATGTTCACATTGAGCGCGGGGGAGGGGAACGATGGGAGTAGACAGAGTGGTGTAATACAGCCAGGGAAGGGAAGAACGAAGAGGGAGCGGTACTAACGACAGTGCGATCTCCGATGGTCTGTCCCTGCGTAGAAACGTTTACGCTTCTCTGAACCGAGTTCCGAGCGCCCAGTGGGGCAGGTGACAAAGAGCTGTGGACCGTGGTGAGCGCTTACCGGCAAAACGCGAACGATGCCTGATGGTCAACGTGTGGCGTTTGTTCCAAGTTGTCGCTTCTTCCCTTCGCCCACATCTGCCCCACTTCCAACATGAGTGAAATCCATATCCTCCAAGGTTCTCAGAATCCCGTTATAACGGGCGGCACATTCATGGCTGCCGAGACTGTAAGTGAAGCACTCTGATGCCCTCTTATCACATGCTAATCAGTCGGTATTTTGCGCAGATCAATAACTACACTAGCGCTGGCAACAAAACGACATCCGACGCAGCGATTCCCGTGAAACCAAACTCAAGTATTCGGTTCACAGGACGGACCGACGTTCTCGCAAAACTGAAGAAACATTTTACTGCCAAAAGAAACAATAAACTCCGCCCTCGAAAATTCTTTTTGTTGTATGGTATGGGGGGTATCGGGAAGACCCAGATTTGTTTGAGGTTCATTGAGGATATGTCTGACTAGTAAGTACTCCATTGTATTACTTAGTCCCTATTTCTGATTGGTCCCCAGCTTTTCCCATGTTTTCTGGATTGACGCATCTTCAGTTGGTACGATCACTCAGGCACTGAAGGGAATCTGCAACCTTCCTGAGGCTCAGTCTTCTGCTCTGGATGGTTCACCTGAATCTGCTTTACGGTGGATTAGCTCTCTGAGAGAAAACTATGCCATGGTCTTTGACAATGCTGATAATCTGACAACTGAGGAACTTGAGCAATATTTTCCATTTGGGCTAGGAGGGAATATTCTGATAACTAGTCGCAACTCTGGCTTAAGACATTTGACTCTACATGAGAATTCTCTTGAGGTGAAAGAAATGGAAGAAAGTGATGCCATCTCTTTACTCTTAAAGGCTGCTTGCTTGAGTGAGTCTCAGGGAAACTTACAAGCTGAGGCTTCCAAAATTGTGAATGAGCTCTTTTGCATTCCTCTGGCCATTGATCAGGCTGGTGCTTTTATTGCTTTTGGGGGCAGAGACATAAGAGACTATCTTGATGAATATTCTCAACACAGAGAAAATTTATTATCTTACCCAGCTTTCAAAGGGGCATCAAAGTATAACAGAACTGTGTATGGGACTTGGGAGCTATCATTTAAAGAAATTCAGCAAAGAGCTAAAAGTGATGATTCTCGAGAAGCTGAGGCGGCTAAGAGTGCAATGTTTCTTCTGGCAATCTTTGCCTTCTTTCATTTTGATGGCATTACAGAAGAGATTTTTTCCTATGCTGCTACTCAGGAATATGGAGATAATGAGCAAAGGTCTGCCTTGCCTCTTGCAAGCTCCATAATAGACTGCACACTGCTTCAGCTTCATAACACAGGAAAATGGGATAATTACACCTTCAAAGAGGGGATTAGAGTATTACTGTCTTTTAGCCTGATCAAACTGGTTTCATACAAAGGCATCTATACCATGCACCCACTTATTCATGCATGGGGAAGAGACAGAATGACCTCAGATGATAGACAGATATATTGTTTGATAGCATATGGAATGTTAGCTTGCTCTCTGCCAGAAGACTTCCATGAGCAGCCATATCAATTCAGGAGAATTTTGGTCACTCATTTGAGGGCCAATATACAGCACAGTGTAATGGCAAAGAAAGAACTGGCTGATAGATACTTCGATGATGCTCATGAAAAGTTTGGGAGACTGTTGAGCGAACAAGGGTATGACAGTGAGGCAGAGAAGTTTCAAATTCTGGTGCTGGATGCAAGAAGCAGAACTTTTGGTGAGGAGGACCCATATACAATCAGAGCCATGGGTGAACTTGCAACTACATACCAGAATTTAGGAAAATATGCAGATGCAGAGAAGCTCAAATCAAAGCTCTAGATATGAGAAACAGACTTCTTGGAGAAGAGCACACAAACAATTTGGTCCATGGCTAATCTTGCAATGACATATCAGAGGCTAGGAAAATATGCAGATGCAGAGAAGCTTGAAATCAAAGTTCTAGATATGAGAAACAGACTTCTTGGAGAAGAGCACCCAGATACAATCTGGGCCATGGGTAATCTTGCAATTACATATAAGAGTCTAGGAAAATATGCAGATGCAGAGAAGCTTGAAATCAAAGTTCTAGATATGAGAAACAGACTTCTTGGAGAAGAGCACCCAGATACAATCTGGGCCATGGGTAATCTTGCAAATACATATCAGAGTCTAGGAAAATATGCAGATGCAGAGAAGCTTCAAAGCAAAGTTCTAGATATGAGAAACAGACTTCTGGGAGAAGAGCACCCAGGTACAATCTGGGCCATGGGTAATCTTGCAAATACATATAGAGTTAGGAAAATATGCAGATGCAGAGAAGCTTGAAATCAAAGTTCTAGATATGAGAAACAGACTTCTGGGAGAAGAGCACCCAGATACAATCTGATGCAATGGAAAATCTTGCAATTACATATAGAGAGGCTAGGAAAATATGCAGATGCAGAGAAGCTTGAAATCAAAGTTCTAGATATGAGAAACAGACTTCTGGGAGAAGAGCACCCAGATACAATCTCGGCCATGGGTAATCTTGCAAGTACATATAGTGATCTAGGAAAATATGCAGATGCAGAGAAGCTTCAAAGCAAAGTTCTAGATATGAGAAACAGACTTCTTGGAGAAGAGCACCCAGGTACAATCTGGGCCATGGGTAATCTTGCAGATACATATAGGAGTTCAGGAAAATATGCAGATGCAGAGAAGCTTGAAATCAAAGTTCTAGATATGAGAAACAGACTTCTTGGAGAAGAACACCCTGATACAATTGATGCAATGGAAAATCTTGCAATAACATTTTTCCATCTACAAAAATACACAGATGCAGTTAGGCTGGAAGCCCAAGTTGTGGATGTAAGAAAGAAGATTCTTGGAGAAGAACATCCAAAAACAGTCAAAGCAGTGGCATTCCTTGCACAAATTAGATCTCAAGCCAACACAGATACTTCAGGAATTGAATCAAAGAAACAAGGTGAGTCTTATCTACTTTAGAATCTGGTCAATTCACATATTTACAATGTTAGTTCACCATTTTTCCACAATTGCAAGTAGGCTTTCCAAAATATTGAAGAGAAAGGTATTGCAATATTCCAACATTTTTTATATTATAGATTCTTATTTGGTTTTTCAGTAGTTAGTGTAACATATCCCTTGGGCCCTTGAGTGCTGCAGGCTTCTTACGTAGCAGGCATTGGCTTGTAATTATAGAAGCCAATTGAAAGTCATGATATGTTTTTGCTAAACGTCGAATGTCAAAATGTCAATCACGGCATTCTAAATGCTACTCCCCAATCCAAAAATATTCCCTAGAAGAAGGGAGGTGTGAGAACATATTCATGCACAGTCAAATAGAGAAGATCAGCAAGGCCAAAGAAAACTAAACAAAGAAATTGAGGTGATCGCAAAGTTGACATAATCATTTACTCGAAAGGCTCACAGATGACAGTAAAGAGCAAAGGAAGAGCAAGAGGGCTTGAATAAGGGAGGGGTCTACCAATTCCATTCCTCATCTTCATCTTGAGTCCTGCCATTGGAGGACGTCATTGTCATTGTCAGTTTGTTTGAAGGTTTCATGCCCCCATCCAGCTGGGAGGGCATCAAGGTCATTGTGTGCGGTTTCTTGGAATCAGGGGTCATAACACTTGCAATGTGTATAGTATCATCATTATTGTTGTCAAGAAGGGAAGGGGATAGAGGCAAGGTAGGTAGAGGCATGCTCTGTGTACGTGAGATTGGTGGGGCTGACCCGATCGGGGTGGTGGGTGTGTTCCATGCAGAAATGATGGTCTGTGAGACGTCTGATAGTAGCATGGATGCTCGTTTTTGACTTTTGGTGAAGCTGTATACAGAAATACATCAGCTTCACAGTAAGGAGCCAGGAGAGACAAAAAGGAAGCCAACAGGATGAGGTTGAACTGAGACCTGGGACGCCTTTTGTGATCAAAAAGCCATCTCGCTCAAGAGAAGAGTCCAATCAAAAAGTGGGAGAAACACATACGTTGGACTATCCCTCAACTCCCCCAACTTCTTACCCATACTCCCCATCCATGATGCACCACCACCTGCCAAGACTAGTGCTTGGAAGTCCAGTCCCAAGACTGAAAAAAGACTGAGACTGGACTGGACTGAGACTGCCCAAGACCAGAAATTCCCAGGACCGCTGAAGACCGCAACCATGGTTTGGTCTTTGGTCTCTCACAATCTCGGAAATTTCAAGACCAACAAAAGACTGGTCTAACTGGTCTTAACTGGTCTTTACCGGAATTCATAACCAAACAAACTCGTAACCAAATGGAACTTGTAACTGGTTACTGAATACAAACACAAATGCTCCCACCACCACCATCCCCACCACCGTCACCACCCTTCATGACCACCACCTCGCATCCGTGTAGGCCTGCACATCGACCGCAACGTCACACGCCAGAGGCTCAGCGACAACAACAACATGGCCATGGTGTGCCACGTCACCAGCATGGCAAAGACGATGACAATGGACTGCGACAACACCATGGTGACGTGGTGATCACATGACGATGATGGACAATGTCATTCCTCTTGACAAGTGCCCACATCAATGACCTAGAACCATGAGTGTGAGCACTCATATCCCCTCCCACTGCATTGTTTAAGATCAGAGCCAGGTGCCACGTCGCCGACAGTGACATGGCAACCAAACAACAATGATGGATGTCGTTCCTCTCCTGCCATGTCACCCCCTCGCTCTCTGCCACCTTTGGTGTTGACAACAACACACAACAACAACCATGTGACAACGATGGAGACAGGCGCATGACGATGACACAAAGTGGCAGTGACAACGGATGAGCCCCCTGCCCCCCCTTGTTCACTTTTATGTAGTACTAGTATATTTAGTAAATTAGATACATATTTTCTCTATGTTAGTAGCTACAAAACCGGTCCTCAACCAGTCCTCAACCAGTTGAGACTGAGACTGGTTGAGACCGGTCTTTCAACCGTAAAAAACTGACCAAAACCGCACTGAACTGGTTGACATTGGTTCAGTCCAGTTTTTCATGGTTCTTCAAATTGGGAGGACTGGTCCCAGTCTCGGTCTTATCAATTTTGGACAAAAGACTGGACTGGACCAGACTTCCAAGCACTAGCCAAGACACCCAGTCCAGGGATAGACAAAGGGGGAGGAAGAGAACCCATCCCCTTCACACTGCCCCCAACCCTCCCATCAGACTGACCCGCATACCCACGTCCATTCACGTTGATGGTCGCCTGCATATTCCAATTTGTCTTCTCCCTGCTGCTACTGCCACCCTCATGCTTCGCAGTACCCAAGCTCAGGGAGCAGTGACGGTACCCTTGAGCTCCCTACTGAACTTGCAGTAGTGGTGTTTGCTGTCAACCCAGGCTTGATGGCCGACAACCCACTGCTCCAATGCAGGGGGACGACATCTTTTGATTTCTGCCAGTGGACTTTGGCTCCCCCACTCAGGGTCAAGTCCAAGCTAGACGTGAAGGTCGCTTCATCAAACTCTTCATTGTCAGGCTCTCCTTGTGGTTGGGGCTCCCCTGAAACAGGCTGCTGTGGCTCCAAAGCACCCTGTTGCCATTCTTTGTGCTTGAAAGCAGGGTTCGGACTCATAGTCAGAGTCACACCTAGTGTTTGAAAGTCCGGTCCGGTCTGGTTATTGAGCCCTCAAGGGCTCTAACCAAGACTGAGACTGGTTACCTTGTGCCACGAAACCCAAAATAACTGAACTGGACTGCTACTAACCGATATAATCGGTTAGTAACGGTTAGTGGTCGGTTACATGACCGGTCCTAACCGGTTATTTCTCTGTACTAACATAATTACAAACCTATATTATATTTCTAATACAAGCATTATGCTGCATGCACCAGCGAGGCGCGTGTAGGTGAAACACCGCCTCGCATGATGGCCCAATGAAGAGAGAAAGAGAGTACTCGATCTGTGAGCCTTTCTCATCACAACCTACGCATCCGGCATATTTCATAAACAACCTTGCAGGTCGAGTACACCCGACCTGCGAGTGTTTCTCATGGATTGCCATTGTTGTATCAATGTCACATTATCACACATGTGACGACAGGAAAATAGTCACTTAAATTTCAATTCACCGTAAATATGTCAATTCTCCACTAAAAAATATGATTTTTGGATCATTAGAAAGTGTTTAAACAGGGGAATATTTGTGTGTAACGTTAGGACACAAAGACCGGTTATAACCAGTCCTAACCGGTTTTTGTTTGGTCTTGAATTTTTTGGGATGACACCTAACCACTAACCGGACCGTGGTTACGGTTAGGATCGGTTAGGTAATTTTTGCGGTCCTGATCGGTTATGGTTCGGTCCAGTCTCGGTTATTTTCCGGTTAACTAACCTAACTTCCAAACACTAGTCACACCTGTATTGTGTACCATCAACTCTGGGGCAGCACAAAAGTCATCACTTTCCCCAAGCGGTTCTTGGCCATCCTCAACATCATCACCTCCCAATTCCTTGCCACCTAAAGATGATGCAGCTGTTGAGCTTGAGCACTGCAAGTACTGCATCATCGCACTGGTAGCAGTAGCATGCATCGACACAGAAGAAAGACTATCCTTCTCCCTCGCGTGAGTCTGGCATCTTGGCATCATTGGCCCTCCAGATAGTGGTGAGCTTCATTCCGCCAATAGTGGCGAACTCCATTGGCCCAGAAGGGGAAAAGGAGAAGCTGATAATGGGGATGGGGAGCTAGGACACTTCAGTCACCCAGTGCCAACTGACTATTAGTCATGCAAACTCCATGTAAGTTACATGACTAAATGTCATGGACCATATCTATATTCTAGATATATATGGGTCCTAGAAAGCCCTGAAATCTAAAATATATTTTTGACACATGGACCCTGAAATGTCACACAAAAATTATAATGTCTGTGTCACACCACCAAAATATATTTTGCAAGTGAAATGCAGTAAGGATATATTTTTGGTCAGTGGACCCTGAAATGTCACTGTCACACCTTAAAAATATATTTTTGCCCTGGCTTTGCCTTAGGATATATTTTGTGAAACAGATGTGGTAAGGATATATTTTTCTGGTCTGTAGTGGTGTCAGGGGTCTTAGTTTTAGCAAAAAAACTTGTGACTTTTTGCTGTCTGGGGTATATATTCTGGAAGATTCTGCCATGACTTCCAGGGGTTTTGGCACTATGTTTGGCTTGTGCTCCCAGTATGTAGGTAGCAATAAGGAGCATCAATAGCATCTCTATGCTGATCTGTTTGGCAAACCGACATCCCATCTTGAACATTTGACTTCTGCTTGTTTCGGAAGAGGGTGATACTTTCTTGTCGACTTATGATTGACTTCTACCTCAGGTGGGGACATGGTGGTGTCATATGAGTGCTTCTTCATCAACAAGTTCAGAAACATCTAGAATTGTTCTTAATACAGCACCATGCTGCTATATTGAAGCTATTTCGCCACACCCCCTTCCATAACATCTGAGTTGCCTAACTATCATCCACCAAATGACACTATGAATATAGTTCACATTACACAATTTTTTAGCTAGTCAGAGTTGACAAAGTACTTTGTTGTCTCTCTCTTTCTCTTTCCTCTCCCTCTCCTCCTCTCTCTCTTTCTCTTTCCCTTGACTCTTGATTGTAAATTTATGGACAACAAATTCCATTCTCCTCTAACAAATTCTGTTCACCATGTCATAATATGGGGTTCTTCTTTGTATTTTATATGGTTCCCTTCTTATCCACTTCAAATGACACTATGGATACAGTCTGCATTAGAGAACTTTTGACATCCCACCCCAAACAACTCCATCACTTTAGTTTAGCAAGAGGAACACTTCCAAATACAACAACCAACTTACCAGCTTTCCTCTCCATAGGGTGTTTCACAGTAGGCCAACTTTGCTTTCAACTTTGATCCAAACTTGTGGGCCAACTTCAACAAATTTGATGGGAAAGTTGGCCAACTCTACTGTGAAACACCTGGAACTGCCAAAAACATGAAGTTGGGCTGATTTGTGCTTGAAATCACTTCCAAGTGCAGATTTTTGCCTATTTTGGACACATGGGAAGTTGAGAGGTGAAGTTGGGATCAAAGTTGGCTCTGAATTGGCATCGGGACCACAATTTGGATCCCAACTTGATGAAGTTGGCCAAACTTCGTCCTTCCAACTTTGCAAAAGTTGGTTGCCAGTTGGCCTACTGTGAAACACCCTAATGCTGTGTCTGGAAAATCAACATCCCACCCCAGATACATTATTTCTCAATTGTATCCTGAATATTTCAATTATACCCTGAACCAAGATATATTTATCAACTTTATCCTGAATTAAGATACATTATTTTTCAACTATATCTTGCATTTTCCAACTACATTCTGAACCAGGATATATTTTCAAACTATATCCTGGACCAAGATATATTTTTCAACTACATATATGTTATATATTTCCTCTAAATCCTGAACCAAGATATATATTTCAACTATATCCTATATTTTTGAACTATATCCTGAACCAGGATATATCTTTCAACTATATCTTGAACCAGGATATTTTTGATCTATATCATGAACAGGATCATGAATATATGTCATCCTTGCCCATAATTACAGAATATATCCAGGATATATAATTTGAGGATGTATCATTAGATTTCACAAGACAAAGCTGCAATTTATTGAATCTAACTACATAAATTTACACCACAGTATTGACTATTAAACAGAGGCAGAGGAAAGGAGGGGAAGAGAGAGAGAGAGGGGGGGGGGGGTGGGCAATGAGGGAGGAAAGGAGTGGTAGGCAATGAGGGAGGGGAGAGGTTGTAGGCAATGAGGGGAGGAGTTGTAGGCAATGTGGGAGGGGAGGGGTTGTAGGCAATGAGCAATGAGGGAGGGGGGAAAAAGTGGTTATAGGCAAAGAAGGAGGAGGGAGGGAAAGGGGTTATATGCAAGGTGGGGGGAGGGGTGGCAGGCAATGGCAGGAGGGGAGGGAGTGGCAGACAGGGGAGGTGTTGGTAGGGAATGATGAAGGGGGGGAGGGAGGTGGCAGTAACAGATGATGGAGGGAGGAAGGTGGTATGCAGGGAGGGAGGGAGGGAGGAAGGAAGGAGGTGGGTAGGCAGGGAGGGGGAGGGAGGGAGGGAGGGAGGGAGGGAGGGAGGGAGGGAGGGAGGGAGGGAGGGAGGAAGGAGGTAACAGACCAGAGAGGGAGGGGGAAAGTGGGCAGTGTGGGAGGAGGGCTTACCGAATGAAAATATAACAACAACAACGACGACGTTATCGTCGTCGTCCCTCATCAGTCTGCGTCGTGGCCCAGCACCCTCGCTGGGTCGTTCGTGGCCCTGGGGACGTGGGGTGCACAGTCGTCGTTTTCGTCGGCGCACACTGGTCGTCGTTCTCATGGGCGGTGGTCGTCGTTCCCGTGGGCGGCGGTCATCGTTTCCGTGGGCGCTGTCGTTTCCGTGGGCGGTGGTGGCGTGCGCCGGACGTCATTTTGCGTGGGCGCTCGTCGTCGTTCCCCGGTTGGTGTAGTTTGTTGTTATCGTTTTGGGTGGTCGTGGTCGTTTTGACGTGGTCGTCCTAACGTGCTGACGTGGCACGGTTGTTGTTGGTTCGGGATGAAGGACGGGCAAAACGACGAACGACGACATTTCGTCGTTCGTCGTTTCGTTGCCATGTCGCGGTTGCGACGTGGCACCTGGCATTGTTGTCAGAAACGAAAGAGGGGGGAGATGGGTGTGTGTGCTCACCAGGTAACGACAACGACGAAATCGTCGTTGTCGTCCATTGTTGTTGTGGTCGTGTCGCATTGTGGCCATGTTGGTTGTGGGCGATGAAGAGGCAATGGTGGTGAGTAAGGAGAAGTGACATCACAAGTCACAACGTGTGACCTTGCGGTATACACGACGTTCAAACGTTCAAGTTCATGCTCCTGTAGCACTGTTTCTGATTAAATTTGTAGTCTATTAAGTAACTTTGTATTCATTACAGAGATTTGTACCTAATGAGAAATCTGTCCCCACAGTTATGTATGTTACAAGAAAGTATTTCATAAAATTGCCCGGTTCCAGGGTTCAAATTGCAGGAGGGGTACTGTTAAGGATTAGGCCGCCGCCGGGAACGGGTTCGATTAGCTTCGATTCGTCTTTGTGCAGGCATGCAGAGGCACGCTCGGAACAGCCCCCAAACCGTGTGCAGGTTGATAATCGGTGTCAATCTCATCACTGTTCACATCGTAGATGCACTAGAAGAAGATTGCTCATATCTGTAACGGGCAACCTGTGAGTTCCTGCTTGACAACAGACATTGTGTCTGAACTACAACACAATAAATTGGGCGCCATGACCAATGCCAAGTTCACAGGAAGGAATCTTCTTGTGTTCCTGGCAAGTTCCTGGTGACAACTCAGTTTCCGAACTGAAATTACGGATCAACTGCAGCTATTATACATTAGACACCATTGACGGTCTGCATGTTCTCGGGTGGGTGATGAAACTCTCGTTGTGCGAGCTCTGTGATCCCCTTGTCCCAAATGAAATGTACAATGAATGTATTCAGCATTCTAGGAATCATCTTGCCTGTATCCGCATCGTGGAACAGCTTCCGACGATCAATGTTAAACCATTGTGTCATTCCTTTTGTCATTAGTTTCTCGCAACTGTTTCCTGAAGAACGAACCCAGAGTATTAAACCATCTGCTCTTTAGACAGAGGAAAATTTGTAGTGTCTACTTTTCGGGACTACCAAATTTTGTAGTTCACTGTTTGGGACTACAAAAACTACAAAAAATTGTATTATCTTCTTTTATCATTACAAAGTTTTGTAGTACCAGCTTTTTGAGACTACAAAAATTGTAGTCTCCTCTTTTTTCATTACAAAAGCTTGTACTGTTCAATTTCTTCATTATAAAATTTTGTAATACCAGCTTTTTGAGACTACAAACTTTTGTAGTCTCAGAATCTTAGTGAGCGTGATCAGAGCATGATCTTGACAGCTGATTGCGAAACGTTAGAGCAGCTCGCTTCCCGTTCCAGCACAACCATCTGTTTGTTTGTTGATGGCCGGACATCAGCACCTTCCAAAAGCAGCACCTGCTTTGCTTCAGCTTTTCCCAGTCACCCTCACCTCCCCCTCTCCTCAAATAATAATGGCGCAGAATGGTCACCGAAGACAAATTGCATAACCTGTCAATAAAATGCTTGCTACCCCGTCGCGTCAAATGGTCTGAAAAGCCCCATCGATCCCATTTATTTGGCTTTGGTGTCCGCCGCAAACAAACACACGGTT